TTTTGGGATCCTTTTTTATTTAAGCCTGAATTTATTTTTTTCAGTCATTTTTCATGACTGAGGGAAACTGTCTGATTTATGATTCCAGAAAAACTAAAATACACTAAGAATTTAGGGATTATAATTGTGTTTTGTGAAAGGTCATATCTTTTAAATATTGATACCAAAAGGCATTTACATAATGGTTTTTAATGAGAAAGTTGTAAGGCAAATATCATAGAAGGAAAATTATTTTAAAGTTATACAATAATATGTCTGTTAGTAGAAAGTGTATCTGCTATCAGAAATCTTCATTAATGAGTATGCTTCGAATTTTTTTGAGGATTGACCATGTCGTCACATTCAGAGTATTCAAACAACATCATTGATAAAAGTGGTAATACTAGTTTTTTTTTTCGAAGTTTAGAAAGCTAGAGAACACTTTCATGGATATCAACACTTCAAGAGTCACCATTTCATTATATTATATGTATGTATGTATGTATGTATGTATGTATGTATGTATGTATGTATGTATGTATGTATGTATGTATGTATGTATGTATGTATGTATGTATGTATGTATGTATGTATGTATGTATGTATGTATGTATGTATGTATGTATGTATGTATGTATGTATGTATGTGCGTGCGTACGTGTGTGCTTGCGTGCGTGCGTGCCTGTCTGTCTGTCTGTCTGCCTGCGTGCGTGCGTGCGTGCGAGCGCGCGTGTGCCTGTCTGTCTCTCTGTCTGTCTTTATGTATGTATGTATGTATGTATGTATGTATGTATGTATGTATGTATGTATGTATGTATGTATGTATGTATGTATGTATGTATGTATGTATGTATGTATGTATGTATGTATGTATGTATGTATGTATGTATGTATGTATGTATGTATGTATGTATGTATGTATGTATGTATGAGCGAAACTATGATACAATAATAACTATCAATGTATCATCAAGTTCACGCTTTTCTTCGAAATATATTTTTATTAGGTCTGTACCGAATATTCGCTTCAGGACTCACGGTACTAATTCAGTTCCCATAATAAACCTATGCAAATACCATAATATTAAAAATTCCGAAACTTAAAATTTCTAAGTGTACATGATCAAACCTATATTTATCAGTACAGATGAAACCTGGACGTCACCTTCTGTATAGAAGAAGAACCGCGGCATTTTCTCGACATACATGTATTTAAACACGTGCTTTCAGTTCCGCACCAAAGAGCCAGTTGATAGTTTCAGTTATGAGTGTTCCAAACTCTTCTTACAGGACTGAAATTCCATCAATGAAACAATGTATTTATTCATTACAACTAAGATAAGCTCTCAAACGATTCCTTTTCCTAAAAGTAACTTAAATTATTAATCAATCCAGGCCAGCCAAACCCATATCTACTCTATTTTATGTTCACCCATTTCCAGGCAGGTTCCCATTTTTCCGTACAATTAGTACCACGTGTCCTTCAACCACGAATAGTTTAGTAAATGAGGTGTTCGGCCAAATAGTACGATGCAGCCGAATACGAGTAGTACAATTATGTCAACCTTTGTGATTTATAATCAGTAACGAGTACCTCAATTCGTACCGACAAGCAATTGAACAAATTTCTGAATGAACCTTATATCCTGAGGGATATCAATCCAGTGTCATGGTGACAGACCGATGCTGACAGGTTTTCTTTGCTCTGTTCTTTTGTCCAAGCTATCTAGCAGAGCTCCCAACAAGTCTATTCATTGCTGCCGGCAACGCCTTTTCAGACAAAAGATGTTCTCCACTGACAGACAATATCGAGAGACTCAGTTTTCATTTCTTAAAAGCTAATGTATTGTTCATGCAGCAGTAACTATTAGACTGCACTTGAAAATTTGAATTTTGCAGTTCATTAGATAATGTATTAAGCACTATCAAGACGTTTAATTATAGCCCTTGAACACTTTTGTAATGCCTGTATTACTTTGAACGAGAACGTTAATTTTCGTAAACAACATCGAAAGGTATAGCAAAGGTATATGAAAGTATAGCAGCAAAAAGGAGTTGATAACAATGAATGTTTTAATGTCTTGTGCATAAGCAAAGACAGATGTTAGCAACTTTTATAAATGATAGATTAAAATGAAAATGGAAGGCAATTTTTTAAAGTTAATTTTTCAATACCAGATGTCATTTACAAAATTTAAAATCAAAATAAATTTAATAATATAATAATTGATTTTCTTTATAAAACTTGAAACCATTAATTTTGTATGGTTATTTCATAAAGTAGTTTTGGTTTACAATTACAAACATTCTGATCGATAACTCATTTTCAATACAATAATTAGTACATTGCATCAACATTGTTTTTGTTAACATGCTGGAATTTCTATTTACTTTGTTTTTCTATATTTGGCAGATTTTCTCTTGCAGCATGGAAATGTCCCACAGCAAATAATTAAACATACTGTTATTAGTATTACATAATATTCTTTGAAATACACTAGTCTTTTGGCAAGATGATGATGTAATGTTAGAGAAAAATTAGATTTTATCCATAAAAAGAAAATAATGTTCCGTGAGGCTGCACCATAAATAAAATCGTCAAATAATAGAGCGAGTAGGCATTGCTACGTAACGACAGCGGTCATTTCATTCGCAGTGACAAAACATTTAATGCTCCTTCTTGATTGGCTGTGATTATGCGGTGTCTCTCAATTACTTTGCTTCCATTTTGATTTTATTGAATTATATCTATATTTTTCTCGCCTAGTTTATATAATTTTTACCGTTTGAAATTAAATTTAACACTTGCAAGGCACCCTGCTTCATTATTGGAGGAAGTGTTTACAGGTTTAAATGAAATAATTAAAACAATACACACTACCACTATTTTACCCCCCTCTCAACACCAATAGGTCTACTTCTTTTGTTATGTATATCTGAATTGTGTGTTTAACATTTGTTCCACGATTGCAGTTTTCTATTCTAAGATAATGAGCTATACAGTACAGTACAATGCAGTCGTGATACCGAGACTCCTCCCCGAGAGGCGGATTCCAGGAATCCTTAGCGATGTGATGGAAACTACTAACAAGAGAGAAAAGACAGAATTATGACTACAGTGGAAATTATTTTTAACAAATTAGAATCAAATATAGACATGCTATGGATAATGGATACAAGAAAAAAAAATTGAAACACTTATGACTCGGAAAAACTACAGAAGAAAATTGCACTAATTATTCTAATATATACTTGACTTATAAGAAGAAAAATGTGTTTTGATGTTACTCTAAGAAAACAACGATGCTTTTGACTACCGATGATGAATCGACGAAACACGTGAAGTAAATTAACCACGGAATAATTGTGAACAGAATCGACATTGCTCTTTGTTTTTTTGCACTAAAATAAACATTTTAAGCTCTAATTATAATTTAATAACAACATATTACTAGAAATTATAACTATTAAATACTAATCTTAAAATTTCCAAATTATATCTAGTGATTATTAATTACTCTTAAAACTTAATAATTCAATATTATTTAAAATTTCAAATATTTTTATTGCTAACTTAGCCATAATTATTAAATACTTGATTTTGACAACTTTGATAAGAAACTTGCGGCACTTGAGTTAGTGTCACGTGATTGCAGAAGCGTAGTGTGAACACTGCGTGTGCCTAATAAAGATTGCAAGCAAGCCATGCGCAAAGTAGGAAATATAGGAAATATAGTTCTTCACATAACACAACTAATAAGAAACTAAATATGAATTCAACTAAACTAATTATAGAATTAAAACTAAACTTTTTATACAATAGCCATAACTATAAATTAAAACAACTCTAGAATTTGATATTGGAATAAATAACTGATTGGAAGAACGTATATACCATATTTCAAAAATTGATAAAATCAAAATTTAATAAAAACTAATACAAAATCACATACAAAATGAAAAAGCTTGAATACATAAAAATCATTAACTTTCGATGCATTTGATAATCTGAGAGGAACCACGCCAATAAATATAATTTTAAAGTCGTTTGAGAACTTAAAGCTGTAAAATGAAATTCACTCCAAGAGATATTAATGCATTTAATATGCAGTCATATCAACATTAATCTTTATTATTGTGTATATTGTCCTATATGGAAATTAATTAAAAATAAAATCGTAATTAGTTACTGTTTAGAAGTTTCCTATTGCACATAGCAATTTTAAAGTTCTATTCTATTCGTGTGATGGAATTTAGATTAGTAATGCTTGTTAATATATGCTTAATATATCGGAAGAAATATACCATTATATTTGTATTTCTTCATCATTAATTACACTTTATCCTCCACTTCTCCTTCAAGTAAATGACTGAATGTAAAAACTCAATCAAGTATCTTAGTGATCGAGACGAGGAAGCAATATTTTTGCGACAGAACCTACATTAACGTTTTCATTTTCAAACTATGAAATGATGTCCAGTGATTCATAAAGAAGAAAATATACACACAATAAAGCCCCAAGTTAGGGTGTTCTCAAACCGTATTCTAGGCATATTTATGTTTATATATTTTGTAATTTCTTTTTTCTTTTTTTTCCTTTAAAATTATGGACGGGACATGCTTTTATACACACTTTTCTTGCAAAAAATAAATGGTAATTGCTATCAAAATTGTGTCCTTCTTCAGCTGATCGTTCCGGTAAACAACGGTTATTTTCATTCATGTTTCATCTAGGTTTCGTTGTGTGTGTATGTGTGTATGTGTGTTTGTGTGTGTGTTTGTGCGTGTGATTTATATGTTTATATTTTTAACGTAGCTTTAACATTTGTTTTGCTACGATGTCTGCAGCGTGACAGTTTTAGTGATGTCTAGCACTGGTGAATCATGCCGCAGACACGTGGCATGATGTCCCACCCAGTCACATTATCCTGACACCAGTCCGACCGGTCCTAACACTAACCTTTTAATGCTGAACGCCAAGCGAGGCAACTGTTAGTACCATTTTTTAATGTCTTTGGTATGACTCAGCCGGGATTCGAACCCACGACCTCCCGCTTTTGAGACAGACGCTCTAACCACTAGTTTTCGATTAGAAAATAATCTAACTCATTCATTTAGACGATCCGGATATCGACTTTGGAATAAAAGAGACCCATTGACATATTTTCACCATTATCAAACAAAATATCGACGAACCATTGCAATTTAAAAAAATATGGACGATAACCAATATATTATGGCGAGAATCAGCTATTCGGAGGAAATTGGCGGACGCCAAAAAAAAAAATGCATGAAGGTGTGCCCAATTTACGCTTGCTGATTGGTTAATCTAACATCGTGATAGGTCAATTAATTTAAGGGGAACAGGTTGTCTGAATTGTTTATTACGGTCTGGACAAAAATAGACTTTTGCCATTATATAAATTCATTAAAATACATTCTGGAAAATGACATTCTGATGTTTTGAAGACTGTTGGCACGTTAGCACATTCGGATCTGGGATTCATTCAGAATACAATTATTTTGGACCGGTGAAAGTGTAGGATTATTATGGATTTAATTCAATTTAATTTAGTTTTTTTAAGGTGATTTGTAGTGGAAGAAAACTGAAAAATAGCCAAAGATAATAATTCAGTTTTACTTACCATTTCTAACAGACTCATTGGTGTAGAGCTGACATTTTTTCATAGAAAAAGTAAAATAATAAAAATGCACATAATTTTAAGTCAAGTTTAATATTTTAATCAAAGAATTCGGAGATTATTGTTTTCTTCTCAATTGTATTAAACACAAATGCAAACATCCAATGCTTTCAAAATAATGAAAACACATCCCATTAAAAACGGAAATCTTTTAATGGCATCATATGAAAGCATTTACAAATTAGTGTAAACGGTGGTAACTCATGATTAGCGGTTGGTGTAGTCAAATGCGTGTAACAGTAAATGAGCGTAGAATAATTATGCTGGATCTATTGGTGGATTCCTTCAGACAGGTGAATTATGACGATTTAAAGACAAAACTTGTGTCATACTAGACTTAGAAATATATTTTTGAATCATCTGTTAAATTGTTCTTGTTGATAAACTTGGATGAATACGATTCCTACGACTAGAAACATAAGTCATTGAAAGTAGAGAGAAAGTACAATTTAAGTTTATTTCCGTTTTTTATTTCTTCAAGATTTTTCACAGTGATAGTTGGATTTTTAAAGTGATTAGCAATATTAAAAATAAAACACATAAAATGGCGCTTTGATAATCAGTGTAATAAGTCTAATAAGAATACTGATGTAAGACAGAAATTGAATCAAAATCAAAACTTACTTAGCATATGTGTCAATTAAATGTAATGATATATTTAATGTCATTACTGTAACAATACATTTTCTTCTACTTTTCTTGGAAATAAATGGGTAAATGACAGAGGATGGATTAAATATCGTACAATGTCGCTATATTTTCACCATTACTGATTTCCGGAACATTCCGGTACACCTACTCAAGGCTAGTGAGAATTTTCAATGAGTTCAATCCGGATAGTGGTATAGAAATGAATTTATTATTTATTTTTGAGCACACGATATGCTATACATGTTGGCCAGTATTAATGGTGGATGAAGAAACCAGGAAATCACCGGAAAGAACCACCGTCCCATGAGAAGCTACTGGCAAGCGTTCTCGCTTATCCACATTCGCCGAATCCTAGACTCAAACCTTCGCAAACAGAGGTGAGATGGCAGTGATCCGTAACGGACAGCGCTTTAGACCACTAGGCCACTCAGGGCCCTTTGGAATCGCTGGAATCGTGTAGAACGTTTCTCACAACTCTTATATGTCACTTAAATTTAATAATGTGAGAAACATACGCGTGAGGAGTATAAAAACGAAATTGAGGTATCCCAAACGTGTAAATATGTACGAGAAGGGTTATCTTTCATTTGTAACCGAAAAAAACCCCAACAAAACAAATGAATTTAGAAAAGTGACGAAAAAGTGGATTGTACTCGAATATGACAAAACTGTCTTAGTTTAGTTCAAGGTTACTAAATCGGAATGTAATTGGTTGTCTTACGAGTGAAGATAGATCATACGTAAAAATATACCTCATTAATTTCACTGAATCCTTTATGTATACGATATAATAACGAACGCATATTTTTTGAAAGATGTAAAGATAATTCTGAACAGCTTAACATTAATTTGTTCTTAAAAATATTTCGATGTAGTCATTTTAATTAATAATAATGATAATATTTAAAAGTAGTTTGTTCACTGAAATAAATTCATAATACTTTCTTATATATTTTCTTTCCCGTTCATGGTAGCCACTTCAAAGTTATTGATAATCTAAGAATCCATAATATTTGTCCAAAAATGTTGATAACTAATATCAAACGTTTAAATCATTATTGAGTTGTGAAGTATATGAAAGATCTATCAAAAAAATGTCAGATATTTTCCTCCCTTTTTCACGAAATTACAATATATAAAATATATTACAATATTCCATTACATAGAAGAAATACTATTATGTTTTTATTATTTCATTTTCTGTTAGCAATTGGGTCTCTATATTGAGCTGATAAATAATCGATAAATTTCAACAATTATTTTAACCAAAGACATATTGACATTTAACCCTAAAACACTTTTTATATATCTGGATACAATTTATCCTCACTTCTAATAAGTGTAACACTTTTAATTAGTATTTGTATACTTATAATATTCGACAATAGATCTTCACGAGTATCGAGTTCAAAACGTACGAAAAGAAAAAGAAAAAAGCAGCAAATAACTGGACGGAGTCCAAAATCTCAGATTGTGACTACATGGGAGAATGTGCGCGCGCGCGTGCGTGTGTTTGTGTGTGTGCGTGTGTGCGTGCGTGCATGTGTGTCTGCGTGTTCTCACAGTATATGGTATCTTAAAATTTGGGATTAGCGTTATTGAGACTAAGCTAGTCACAGTTATGTCCCTTGACTAATAAGAGACACACACACTCTCTCTCTCTCTCTCTCTCTCTCTCTCTCTCTCTCTCTCTCTCTCTCTCTCTCTCTCTCTCTCTCTCTCTCTCTATATATATATATATATATATATATATATATATATATATATATATATATATATATATATATATATATATATATATATATATATATATATATATATATCTCTCTCTCTATATATATATATATATATATATATATATAGAGAGAGAGAGAGAGAGAGAGAGAGAGAGAGACACACACACACACACACACACACACATATATATATGTGTGTGTGTGTCTGTCTGTGTGTGTGTAATGAATTTTAATGTGCGTTTGTTGGGTCCAAGCACATACAAATCTCATCTACGCACTATATACATTTGCAACGTTTACAAATTTTATGATGGTTACCAAACAAATTATCAAATACTATCATGTTTGCTTCATTTAAGGAGAACGAGAAGGATAAAATGAACCAGTTGTGAGACCTAAGCTTCAAAATGAAATAAAAAAGGACGGCTATGTCGAGCCCACGATCAACGAGTTGCTGTTACAATCATCTTCAAATTAATTATCACAGGCAGAGGGAAAAAAATGTTGATTGATTGCCACACAAAACGTCGTTGATTTTCAGAGGGAAAAACTTTGATTGATTTAAAAATAATGCATTTTGTTATCGATAAACTGAGCATATATGTCGTCATATTTAAATCATGTTTTGAACTCTGTGTAGGTACGAAAAGGTAAAATAAGAAAAAAAGCAATTAAGTTCGCATTCTTTATTAACCCCCACGCTTTTTAAAGAATGTTGTTACTATAGGTTTAAGCCATTTTCCAGCACATGATAGGCTATACATGTTGGCCAGTAAATTTGGTGGAGGAAGAACCAGAGAAGAACCACCAACACACTTCAAGCGACTGGCAATCATTCGTGCATGCCGATGTTGACCGAGCCCGAGATCTGAACACACACGGACAGAGGTGAGACGGCAGTGATATGTAGAGGCCTAGTGGTCTAATGTACAATTAGACCACTCGGCCACTTGGTATCCCACGCTTTCTAATGAGCTTGGAATATATATTATGGTACCTTCTGTTTGTTCGTTACCAGATCTCCTTTACCAGCTGGACTGAATGTAACGTAGCCTTGCAATTTTGTTACTTTTGTGGTGATCATTTACAAATGCGATGGTTTGGTTTACGGGTTTAACCTCATTTTTCCGTATATCTGTTGGAAGACAAACCATAGAAAACTACTGGAAAAACCATCTACCCGCGGGAGACTGGCAAGTTTTCTCACCTAGCCCTATTGGCAGAGACAAAGACTAGACAGCATGCCTATGATGGTGAGGTGGCAGTGATCGATAAAGGCGAGTTTGTTAAGCTACTCGGGACCAAATCTGCAGGTAGAGTATCAGGTACCGCTCTTGGGGCTACTGAAATTATGTTTAAATGTTAAATATACAAAATACAATGACATTTTCAAATATATTGTAACCAAACGTTATAAATGCAACCTGTTGCGGATTTTGAAATTTCGTTTGGGGGTGGGGATGAATAAACCAGACAAGGGGGCTGTGGAACTTAAAAGCCCCTTGTGCCTGATGGAATGAAACTCTAGGAGTCATCTGAAATTTTATGTATCTTCTGAACATAATTATAACCATTTAAATTGTAAAGAAAATATTTTCAAGGAATGTTCCGGTTCCTACGCGTTCGTTTGGGGAATGAGATATGTCGCAGTGTGCTCCCCAGACTGCTCCTTGCAGTTATAGATTTATAACAGGAATGCCCATACAAAATATATTACGAAAGTTTTCGTAGCAATCCATGTCGTTGTCAGGGCAATGGTGGGGGGAATATTGGGGACTTGGTGGTTGGTATAGTATATTTTGGATTCGCAATGAGAAACCATTGCAGTCAATCTAGTTTTCTTTATGTACATAGAATGTTGAATATATTAGATATTTAAATACCCAATTTTGTAGTGCTACGAATGGAAAGAAAATTTAGCGGCCAAACAGCTAACTGACCAGGTTATGAACCTACAAAACACTCAATTAACCAAACAAACAGTTGATTAAGAAATATACCTCTTTCCGCAGTCGTTGC